AAATGACATGAGGTAGTGCCCATAACCTCGACGACTTCGGCAGCCACCATAAAGTGTTTCTAACTTTTTTTGGAAGATATGGTCTGCCAGAAAGGATTGAGACAGACAATGACCCGCAATTCCGATCAAGCAAACTCCAGGATTTCATGACAAGAAAAGGAGTGAAGCAGTCATTCTCACCCCAAACCATCCTGCAACGAGCGGTGCGGCAGGAAACTTCGTGGGAACATTAAAAAAGTCTGTCAACCCAAGCCTGAAGTCGAGGCTGACCATGGAAGAGACGTGCCATAACTTCTTGGTGACATATCGGACGACTCCGCACATGACAACTGGCTCAACACCTGCCAAAATGATGACAAGAGACGAATTTCGCCAAAGGTTTGATCTTCTTCGACCATCAATAACGGATGTCGTGCGATCAAAACAGACGAAGCAGCACGTCTCGTGCAACTGCAAAAAACAACACCTACATCAGAACGACCTGGTCTGCGCAAGAGACTTCAGAAACGGCAAGAAGTGGTCGAAAGGCGTCGTCATCCGAGTTCTAGGAAACCGAACATAGGAGATTCGCACGAACGGCGGAAGTACATGGAAACAACACATTGAACAGCTGAGACATGTACCCAAGGAGGATCTCCGAATCAAGACGACAGCCTCAGGCGCAGAAACATCGAAAAAGATTTCTCCTTCCCGCGGCATCAGTCAGCGAAACACTTCACACTCTCCGATTATTAGTCAAGACCTTCCAAACACGATTCAAGACAGTCAGAACGATCCTGCTACACCGGAGGTAGGCATTTCAAGGGGCAACCCTCCTCTTCTCAAAGATTAACACGGATGCGCCAGCCACCTACGCGGCTGGGCCTGTGAAAACGTGAAGTTTTTGTAAAGGGGAGATATTTCGATGTGCCGGTCAACTTTGGATAACACAGGATATATTTGTTTAACTGTTAGGTTGCAATCGGTTGAGAAGAGTATTGTTTGGTCTGCGACTGCGCCCAGTCTCTTCTTTTCCAAGCGTCACGGTCTTCTCCATGGATCACCCTCCCCCGCCGGCGTCTCCGGTGGCATCAGCCCGCCGCTGCTTGGGCTAAAGGTCGTGTTCGCTATGCGTGGTGAATAGGCTCACGGCACTTGTCTCGAGTGGTCGTTTGAGCTTCTTGAAAAATTATCACCGAACAATTAACCATACTGATATTTACCGTAATGTCTATACACAAATTTCAGATATGGGTGAATTTAAACTTAACCTTGTGTCCTCTGCGATGAGAAATTCATTCGCCATTCTGCTTTGTCTGTTTGTCCATCACTCTCTATTTTTTTGTGGGCTACCACTGAAACTGACAAGCACAGCGAAAAAAAAAGTGTAGCAGTGATATTAAAAATAAAGTGAGTAGACAGGCGAGCTGGTTCATGTTACACATTTTTAAAAACTGGAAACGAAAAAGGAACAAAAAGCAACAAAAAAACAAAAACGCATCAAGATTGAGATTGAGATTGAGAGGGTTTGTGATTCTCTTTTTTCGTCTGTCATCTCTGTTTGGGAACAGCAATATTTGTAGAACAAGTACAGGAACTCTTTGATAAGCTAGATCTTCTACTCATGTTTCCACAATGAAAATAAGACTTGATTTCATCAAGTCGCAGACGTTTCTCACTGTAGCAGGGAACCTTGTACTGTTATTACAGCCGTTCCGTTTGAATTGCCTAATCTTGGACTCGTAGTTTCTCAATGTGAATTGCCGTAATTACTGTGACACATTGAGAAGTACATGTCAGTTGTTTGTCAGCGGTAATTCCTGCAAAGAACACACATGCACAAAGACGGGCAGTAGAAGCTCCAAAAAAATTTCACATGTGCGGTGGTGAGCCAACGGACCTGACGGGATGACCGACGTGGTCCAGCTGTTGTGAGGTTACATTCTTTATTGCTTCTAAAGATGCACTCATAGAATATGTTGTCATCACTGTATTCGGCGGTTTGGTTGTCGTTTGGTCTCTCATTGACAGTCCAGACATCGGGTCTCCTTTAGTCTCATTATCATATATTGCTGTTGTCATCATGTCAGTGCTCATGGTGCGAGAACACGATGTCCGAGAACTACCAGGAGAGGTGGTGGGGGGACATAAAATCAATACTGCTTAAGTACATGCAATTGCAACTTTCTTTTTGGAAAGGGACTAATCAGTTTGGATTTTTTTTCTAAGCCAGGGGTGGCCAGAGAAATATGTTCAGAGTCATAAAAACATATTTTAGATAAAGATCCACAATAAAAGAGGAATGTGGTAAGTGAGGTTCTTTTCTTCTTTGATGGTGATGTTTGATGCTGATGCTAGCTGCTTGATGTCAATTTTGAAGTCTTGCCTGTTGACGAGGATGTCGAATAACGCATCACGGAGACTTGACGTCAAGAAGAACAAATGCGTTTACTAATTAAGAGCGAATATAAAAATTACAAGAGCAGAATTTTACAGAACAATCATCCTTGCCGGACACGGCAGGAGTCTTTCGGCAAGACCCGCTCCGGGAGCGTATATCTGGTCACTCCCTGGAGCTCGTACAAAAAACTCTCCTTCCCCAGTCCTCCTCGGGTTTAAAAACCCATGACCGCAACCTGTTCCACCCAATCACAGTCTAATACCCCTCCTATTGGGTGCAGTTGGCAACGCCCTCATAACATACATACGAGAGGTCACGTACCCTTCCTCTGGGGCCCGAACGAGGACCCTTGGGTGATCGCTGGTCTCCGAACACCGGAAGGGTCGCAGGAAAAGGGCCCGAACGGGCACCCTTTCCACGTGTGGCGGCGTCGACGTAGTCACCTGCCAAGGCGGTTCTCCAAAGAGAAGATGACGAAAGCCAACACGAGTCGGAAGCCGAAAGCAGTATCAGGAATCACGGCCTGGCTCCCCTTGAGAAGCAAAGAGAGCCGCCAGGACGGAGAAACGCGGTGCGGTGAGGACCGGAAAGGCGAACATCGTCGGGTAAGAGAAAGAAGAAAGGGACCCCGACGAGTCGATCCCAGATGCTGTCCGTTCGGATCACGTACAGGGTCTTTCCAGGTGCACTGCCGCGGGCGCGCAATGATCGGGACCCGACACCGCCGAAGAAAACACCTCACCATCCACCCTTGTGAGCCAAAGCCGCCGTGTATACAAACGGAGAGCCGCCTTCGAGCGGCGGCTTCAGGACACACGAAGCTCTTCAAATGGAGCGCCCTTTCGATCGCCGCCGCGCATTGCGCCAACCTCACACGTCCCCTCCAAGACTGCGCCAGAACTTCTAGGACTGGTTAGCAGTACAAAAAAATTAGAGGTCGCAGAAAAAAAAAAAAAGGAAATCAAGAACACAACAACGTACGACGTACATATAGAGCAACCACGTTAAGGTCTGCCTCCCAAGGGCAACAGCACCTCTTAAAAAAAAAACACGTGTCGCCTTCCCCATCTGAGAGAAAATTACTCTTTAGCAAGCACGTCAACTTTTCAACTATATCGCATCCAAATTAACGGAGTTAAGCAACATGTATGTATACGCAATAGTCACTACAAATAGCAAAGCCGATGAAATGGAGTAGAAGGACCACTCTATACACTGGGACAATAATAAACACGGCACGACCGTGAAACATAGCACAGCGAACTCTCCTGCCTCCGAGGGGCATAACAAATACAGGCGGCCGGAGTATCCTCTCTTGCAGGATTGTCAAAGGGTTCGCACATGCACACACCATCACACATTAGCCACTGGTAGGGCCCTCCGGCCGCTGCAACCCGCACACTCCATGACAGCACAGAATATTCTTTTGTCTCGCAAGTTGCAGGGTTACACGTTTTTACCCTCTAGGTGGTCATGCCTCGGCCGTCACCAGTCTGGAGAGCGCGTCCGCATTGGCATTTAGTTTGCCCTTCTTATGTACAACCGTGACATTAAATTTTTGCAGCGCGAGAGCCCAACGGGTGAGACGGGCGCTATGTGGGGTGCTGAGTGTCAAAAACCTAAGAGGATTGTGGTCAGTGACGACCTTGATCGATGCCCCGAATAGCCACGTCTCGAGCCGCTGTAGGGCCCAGATGATCGCGAACGCCTCGCGCTCAATGGTAGCCCAACGAGTTTCAGCAGGGGTTAGTTTCTTGCTAAGGAAAGCAATCGGACGCTCTTTTCCGTTGTCATCTTCCTGAGCCAAGCACGCCCCGATCGCGAACTGTGAAGCGTCCGTAGCCAAGATGTACTCCTTTTGGGGGTCAGGCGCAAAGAGTGCAGGCGCCTGAGCTAACCGTGCTTTCACTTCTTCGAATGCCTCTTGGGCTTCTTTTGTCCACGGCAGCTTTTGCGGTACGCGCTTATTGGTGAGATCAGTCAGCGGCAGAACAAGACGAGAGTAGTCGGAGACGTAGTCGCGGTAGTAGTTTGCCAGCCCCAGAAAGCTCCGCAGCTCTCTCTTCGTCTGCGGCCTAGCGATGTCCCGAATTGCCTCTACCCGCTTTGGGTCCGGGCCATGTTTCCCCGACCCTACAACATGCCCCAAGAAATGCACTTCACTGCAAGCGAATTTACATTTCTGCACGTTAACGGTCAATCCAGCGGACGCCACTGCTGCCAAGACGCGCTCCAGATGAATTACGTGTTCTTCCCACGTCCTCGAAAAGATCGCCACATCATCGATGTAGGCGCACGCATACTCAGCATGTGGTGCCAAGATCTGATTGATGATCCTCTGAAACGTAGAGGCTGAGTTTCGGAGCCCATACGGCATTACCTTCCACGCGTACTGACCTTGCGGTGTCACAAACGCTGTATAGTACTGCGCCTGCTCGTCCATCGGAATCTGCCAATATCCTCTAAGCATGTCGAGGATCGATATGAAGTTTGCTCCTGCAACCTCAAGCAGTAGATCACTGGCCCTGCTCATGGGGAAGGCATCTGGTTTGGTGATAGCGTTCAACTTTCGATAGTCTATGCACAGTCGCATACTTCCATCCTTCTTGGCAACACATACCACTGGATGCGCGTGACTACTTTCCACTGGATACACTAAGCCCCATTCTTCAAGCTCGTGCACCTGGCGTTCCACTTCTCGTCTGAACGCCATAGGAACCCGGTACGGGTACGCACGCTGAGGTTCGGACCCCTCTTGCAGTGTGATTTTATGCTTTCCAACGTTGCACATTCCCGGCCTTTCAGAAAATACGACGCGGTTTTTCTCTACCAATGCCTTCAGCTGATACTGCTGGGGTTTCGTCAAATGAGCGACCGTCGGAAGCTCACCGCTTTCCTCATTTCCTTTAGCACTCGGAAGGGTAGGAACGTCACCGAACGCTCGATCCTCCTCGAAGATCACGCCCACTACTGACACGCGAGAGTGATATGCCCTTAGGTTGTTTGCGTGGACAGTTCTACGGCTTTGATCCTCGAGCTCCACTTCATAGGAATACGGACGCAACCGCCGAACTATCGTGACCGGTCCGGTCCACTTTGGCCTCAACTTACCCTCTTTTTCTCTTTCGGACCACAAGACCTGGTCCCCATCACTGAACTGCTTATCCCTAACCCGTAGGTTGTACCGGTTAGCATAGGCCTCCTGGGTCAGCGCACCTGTCTCCTTTGCACGTTCGGATGCACTCTCGAGGCGCTTTCGCAACTGAGACAGATACGTTCCTGCTGAGACATTCAGCGAGTCTGGCACCGTCCACTCACCCGTCCATGTTTTCTGAAGTATAGCCAGTGGCCCGATCGGCACCCTACCGTACATCATCTCGAACGGTGTCTCACCGGTTGTAGCGTTGGGAACCTCGCGATACGCCCATAAGAGGTACGGTATGTACCTATCCCAGTCGCGCCCATGCTCCTGGACTACGTGGCTTAACATCGCCTTGAATGTTCCGTTCCACCTCTCCACGAGTCCGTTGCTCTGCGGGTGGTCCGGTGTAGAGAACCGCGGCGTCGCTCCTAGCCTTGCCATAAGCTCCTGAGTGAGTTTTGCCGTAAAGTTAGTTCCCTGATCCGAGCAAACCGTCTCAGGAACTCCCATTCTCGAGAAGATTTCTAAGAGAGCGTCACATGTTGCCTTCGCGGTCAGTGATCGAAGGCAGATGACTTCGGGCCATCTCGTGCAGTAGTCCACGACACAGAGCGCATAGCGGTGACCCCTACCTGAAGGCGGATCGAGCGGGCCAATAATATCCATGTTTACCATTTGGAAAGGCGCGTCCGGTCTCGTGAGCGGCGCAATAGGCACTCGGTCTGACTGTCGCGCGGGAGACCTCACTTGGCACGTGTGACAGCTTTGGCAGTATGCCTTGACATCGGCGGCCACGCCTGGCCAATAGAACGACTGCTTGATGCGCTGAAGTGTTTTACGCTCACCGAGATGCCCAGCCCATGCAGAATCGTGTGCCATTCGGAGCACCTCCTCACGTCGACCCTTAGGGAACACCAACTGGTTACATGATCGACCGGCCATTGGTTCACAATGGTATAGAAGCTCGTCCATTACAACCATTCCATGCGTTCCCAGGCGAGCTTGCTTCCAGGCCTCATCTAGTGTCGTGTCGCTTTCCTGACATCGCCTAAACTCATGCCTGGCAATCGGATTCGCCCCACTGGCAGTTTCTCGTTCCTCCGTCATTACAGTCAGCACTTCTGCCTCTAACGACTGCTCACCGATCTCCCCACCCTTCTCAACTGTTTCACTTGCCATTGACCCCATGGGCCGAGGCGCGGAGTCAGTGCATACTCGCTCGCTGAGAAGCTGCTCGTAATCAGAAGGCGTGATCAAAGCGTCAACCCCCTCAACCAACCTCTCCGTAAGGGCGCATAACACCCCTTGACTTCCCGGTTGCAACGAGACATACGGGCCCCCCGTGACGGCACTAAGCGGCACATACGCAAGCTCCGCGGTCACCCGATCGCCGAACGCACTCGTGAGCTCAATCCTGGAGCCCGCGGCCTCATAGTCACGGAGGATAGACTGTCGAATCACACTAATGTCGGCCCCGGAGTCCACGATTGCAGTAATATTCACATCGCCACTTTTTAGCGACACCGTGTGTCCGCCACTGCACTCCTTTGATGGCGCCGTTCGGGGCTCAACCTCAAATTCTATCGCACTGACCATAGCTGCCAACGTGCGATCCTTTTCCTCGTTACGTTTTCCCATCCGGTTGCTCGGGTTGGTGTTACGGGTAGGGCAATCTTTTGCGATATGACCCGGCTTGTTACAGCCGAAGCAGCGGCGCCCGAACGGTGCGGCTGACCGTCCGTCCTTGTCGCGTGCTTCTGTATTCGGCTTTTTTGTCGTAGCGCCCCTGTCTGTAGCCGAACCCCCCTTCGATCTCAGACTTTCGTCAAAGTCCTCTGAGAGCTGAGCAATCGCGCTCGGGGTCAGGAAGCCTCCCTTTTCCTTTAGTATGACGTGGGCTCTAGCGTCTGGTGCAAGACACTCCTTCATGCGGTCGCTAACCATTAGCTGTTGCAACTCCTCCATGGTCTGTACCTTGGAGCTGTTCAGGTAGTATTGCAAGTAGTTCTCGAGCCTGACCGAAAACTGCTCCCACGTCTCCTTGCTACCCTTCCTAGAGCTCAGAAAGAGACGTCTGTATTCAGCCGCTGACAGCCGCAGACCCCCCAATACTTTGGATTTGAGCGTCCGATAGTCCTTGCGCTCTTCTGCGGAGAGCTTGGCAAGCATGCCCCGAGCCCTCTCACTCAACCGCGGCAAGACCATCCCCGCCCACCACTCGTTGGGCACACCATACGAGTCTAGGGTCGCCTCAACATCCTCAAACCATCCGGGCACCAGCGGTTCATGAGTAGGCATGGGGGCGAGGACACCCTTCAATAGGCTGGCGTATTTCAGCCTCCTATCTTCCTCAGCACCCCCAAGTCCGCCCCTCCCATCCACCACGGACACCGCGCTCGAATTTTGAAGGCGTTGAGTTTCTAACAGAAGCCTTTGCTTCTCCAGTTCTGCCTCTGCGATTTGTAATTGCAATTGCATTAGTGACATCTTGTCTGCCACCGACATCTCTGAGCTACTACTGCTACTATCACCCTCAGCGTTGACCGCCGACGCACGACCTCCGTCCTCCCCGTTCATACCGCCTGGTTTGCCCTTGCCACTACGTAGATTATACCGATCTGTCATAGAGCGTGCAAGTCCCAGCAAACGAAAGGGCACCTACCAGTGAACGCCGATGCGGTTCCGGTGCTCCTCCACCCAGGTCCGTATGAAGAGACGGTGCTTGTCCGTCGGACGCTGTCCGTGACTTCTTCGCGCCCAGTGTTCCGAGATCCCGGCTTCCAGCAGACGTCTCGATGCCACCAGCACTCCTCGATCAGCAGCCCTGCATACGCATCCTGCCGACTGCGCCAGTGAGGTTCTTTTCTTCTTTGATGGTGATGTTTGATGCTGATGCTAGCTGCTTGATGTCAATTTTGAAGTCTTGCCTGTTGACGAGGATGTCGAATAACGCATCACGGAGACTTGACGTCAAGAAGAACAAATGCGTTTACTAATTAAGAGCGAATATAAAAATTACAAGAGCAGAATTTTACAGAACAATCATCCTTGCCGGACACGGCAGGAGTCTTTCGGCAAGACCCGCTCCGGGAGCGTATATCTGGTCACTCCCTGGAGCTCGTACAAAAAACTCTCCTTCCCCAGTCCTCCTCGGGTTTAAAAACCCATGACCGCAACCTGTTCCACCCAATCACAGTCTAATACCCCTCCTATTGGGTGCAGTTGGCAACGCCCTCATAACATACATACGAGAGGTCACGTACCCTTCCTCTGGGGCCCGAACGAGGACCCTTGGGTGATCGCTGGTCTCCGAACACCGGAAGGGTCGCAGGAAAAGGGCCCGAACGGGCACCCTTTCCACGTGTGGCGGCGTCGACGTAGTCACCTGCCAAGGCGGTTCTCCAAAGAGAAGATGACGAAAGCCAACACGAGTCGGAAGCCGAAAGCAGTATCAGGAATCACGGCCTGGCTCCCCTTGAGAAGCAAAGAGAGCCGCCAGGACGGAGAAACGCGGTGCGGTGAGGACCGGAAAGGCGAACATCGTCGGGTAAGAGAAAGAAGAAAGGGACCCCGACGAGTCGATCCCAGATGCTGTCCGTTCGGATCACGTACAGGGTCTTTCCAGGTGCACTGCCGCGGGCGCGCAATGATCGGGACCCGACACCGCCGAAGAAAACACCTCACCATCCACCCTTGTGAGCCAAAGCCGCCGTGTATACAAACGGAGAGCCGCCTTCGAGCGGCGGCTTCAGGACACACGAAGCTCTTCAAATGGAGCGCCCTTTCGATCGCCGCCGCGCATTGCGCCAACCTCACATGGTACTTTACAAAAAATGTTTTAAACGTTTTCTTTTTAGTTGCCACAGCAAATTCCACTTATAAGGCTATTGCTCAGCATGTTTCTTTATTGTGAGTCCTCGTTCGTAACACAAGTACCTTCTCTGTTTGTATTTTGGCACAAAGCTGACAAAACACAAGCGACCTTTTGACCTTGCGAGGCGGAAGGAGTGTTAGGTTTACCAGGGAGTAATGTGGTAAGCTGGGCGAGTTGGTAAACGTTGAACATGGCGAAAAATTTCGCACAAAGAGACAAGGATCTCTTTTGTCCTTGTCTCTTTGTGCGTGATATTTTCTTATGTTTATCAGGGAGCCGCAAGCCGCACCAGGGCCCCTGAAGAGACGCAAGAGGCTCTCTAGCCACTGTTCGGCTGCCCCTGTCATGCACCTATAATTGGCGTCAACTATTGTGTGAAACCTTGGCAAGACTAGCGTAGCTTGCACGGTGCTCTCCAGCCGGACGATGTTGCGAGAGCATGTGGTCGAGGCTTCGCTTTGCATTTCATTCCCATTAGCTCGGGAAACTAGCTGACAAAGTTGAAGCACTGAGGTGGCTATGCTGGCCTTGACAACGTAGAACAAAATAGTTGATGCCGAATATAGACGGGTGTGCGTGATCGGGAAGCTCAGTTTCCTTTTAAATGCATAGATTGTTTGTAGTTCTTCCTGCAAGTCGTCGTCATTATTCGAGGTTACTACCTTGTTGCCGAAATCCCGAAGTTTTGATTGTCTGTGAAACATTTAGCACAGAGAAACTGCCCAGGCGAGGATGTAAGAATCGGCCTCCACAGCACGTCGTCGTGAATTTCAGTTCACTTTTAACCGCTGGCAGGAATACAGTCTCGCAGTTCTTTTTAATTCCCATATTATTTCAATCGATGTAACGAAGCTCGACGGTGCTCGGAAGGTTTGGAGTCGTCAAATACGTGTTGCAGCACATTTTTTGCACTTCGTCAAATCTTGCCGAGAAGACAAATTTAATGGTGCGAAATGTAGGCTGCAGGAGATACGGGCACAAGAGCATACGAAGCAATGGCGGCTAGTATGGTGCCATATGGCGTCACGTGAAAGGCATGTATACAGGTAGGTGGTAGTCAGGTCAAGTGTGGTTATTAGTTGGTTTTGATTGAGCATACAAATGAGCGGGGAGAAAACCATAAGTGTGCAGTCAGTTCGATAGCAGTCGCTTGATGGGCAGGTCGGCCCCAAAGCTTGAACATCATCAGGTGAAGGAATGGCAAGAACCCAACCTCTCTTGGCAATTTAACATCAATTTTGTTGATACTTTGTCGCTAAAGTTGCAAGCCCTTACCGGTACCTTTCCTTCGTTGGTTTTTTACACGTGCTGCATGTAATATTGCCATTCTATCCTCTGTGCTTATATGTGCAAACAACCATCATTGAGTTAGCTTTTTTTATCCTTTTCAAATGACCACAAGAGCTAAGAGCTACTGTTGCGTAGTATTAAATTTATGGTATTTCATTTTACAATTATTCATGATGCTGTTCAAAACCTCTTGTATCTTGGAGTGGTACACAATACACTAGAATTGCGTTTTTAGAGTTCGCAATGTCATGAATAGTTCGTAATTAGTGTAGCTACCTGAACCGTATGCCTACGTATTCTTCGTACGACTCTACATTATATACTACGCGACCGAGCTGGAATGCTTGAACATAGATTTTTTTTTACTCGTGTCAAATTGTTCGTGTTTTTCGATGTGCCTTTCGCGATAGAACTTTAGCTAGTCGGTTTCCGTGTCTACTTACGTGTCACTCTGTACGCTGTATCTGTATCCCTTCTCGTTGCAAATGGATCACGCAGAATAACAATAAACTGTTTATGTGATAAAAGTCCTGTTTGTGCTTGAAAATTAGGGCGAGGGAGCCTTCGCCGTAACTGTCTTAACTGTCCGACCATGTAAAACTTGGTAAGACAGTTAAAACTGTGAAAAGGCTGGGCAGAATGGGCAAGAAGAGAGCCGATGAGCTTAGGCCCATCATGCTGAATTTCTTTGACTATAACGAGAAAATGAAAGTATTGCAGAATTATTCAAAACTGAAGGCTCACCGATTTCTATCAGTCACGATTTTTGCAAAGCTACTTTACTCAAAAGCTCTAACTGACGGCAACACGGCAAAGAATTCAAAACCCAGGGCCATAAGGTAACCCTAGACGATGACCGGCTGCGTGTGGACTATACCGTCTATGTGCGGGACGAAGTAAAATTACGACCGGTATTAGCCCACTCAGTTAATGTTCGACAAGAACAAGTTCACCATTCAAGACTGGAGCAAGCATCGTCCAGAAACGAACTCAAAACGCTACGTATAATTTTGCTGAATGCTCGAAGTATTGCAAATAAATCACGTCAATTAGAATCACCCACACATTCTAGCTATTACGGAAACATGACTCTCACCAAACATTATTAACTCCAAAATTATCCCCCCTTCCAACAAAATAGTGAGACGAGATTGAGAAAGCGGAGGTGGTGGAGTAGCAATCATAGTAAAAAAAAGAAGTCAATTACGTTCAAATGGAAGACATCACTGAACATGAAAACATTTGGTGCGAAATTAATGATCGAAAAATTTTCCACCTTGTTTGGCGTCGTGATTTTAACCTGACGGGTATCAATTGGAATACACTAGCAACCTCGAGAACTCAGGACGGTGACAGCACACGTTTTCTTCTCGATTGTACTTTTTCTCATGACCTTAAACGAATATACGATCCGAACACGAGAAACTGACTCAACTGAGTCAGTCCTAGATCTTATTTTTTATTACAAACTTTCCAGAAGATTGCACTGTCGGTATCAGCGAGGGAATTACCGATCATTAATTAGTTCATCTGAGTCTGAATATTTGAAGCAATAAGGAAACCCGTTTAATTGAAACTTTCTCCGATTTCGCCGCAGCATTGGATTGTTCTATTCTCGATTGTTTGCATTCCTCTTTTTATGATTTCGATACGGTGGTGACGTTTCGCTTCTTTGGACCAAGTTCAAGCAGCTCGTCACGCCTTGTGTTGATTGATTTGCTCCCACCCGTCGAGAAACAGTGAGGCAAAACAATCCATGGTTCAGTCAAGAGAGAATTCACCTAAAACGACGTATTAAGCGAAAGCGCAGGGCAAAACTTAAGAGTAGCGCGGAGATAAACGCTCTCAATAACGGATCATTTTCTAAGCTGCGAAGCTCACTTGACAGATTTTATAAGCAAACCACACCAATATTTTAAAATAATCTCCACAAAGGATTTGGCGCTTCCTATTAGGCGCCAAAGAACGCGTAGACCAGCCCAAAATTAACGACAGTGCAACTCCTAATCTTAGACTCATTGGAAATAAATTCAACACGTTTCCATAGAACGGTCACCAAGCAGGATTTCTTCTCAGTGCGCGAATCTTGTATTGTCATCTAGTGGTGGGATGATGCCTGATGTAGTTTGAAGCCGAGAAGGCATACTTTCATTGCTACAGAATATAAAGGTAAAAACATCGCGCGGTGCTGAAGGTCTACCGAATGCTTTTCTTCGTCGTTACTCTGAAATCATTTCCGAGTATCTATACGTACTCTTCAATGCCTCACTCAACCAGACTGCCCCACCCCGAGATTGGCTAACGGCGAGGGTGGTTTCAGCATTTAAATTCGGAGACAACTTAGATGCTGGTAATTACAGACCCATCTCGTTAATAAGTACATGTTGCAAGGTATTTGAACACACTAGCCACGTTTCCAACTACCTCGAGTGGATAAACGTGTTTGACAAAAATCACCATG